ACTATCTGTCTTCTCTCTCTCTCTCTCTCTCTCTCTCTCTCTCTCCTTTTTTTTTTAATTAATGTTCACGTTCTGCTGACTTTCTGTACTGAGGAAAGTTCAGCTTCGAAGCACTATTGGAAAGTAAGGCCATTTAGTTGTATACTGGCTGCATTTGTTATAAGCAGACGCAATTCACCCTCCTCACGCTGCCCCACATCTATGAGATTAACCCTGATTTAGGAACATAAGTGTCTTTTGGGCCGAGGGGTTACTTGGTTTCCTTTTCACCTTAGTTCTGTGTTCTGCCGAACTTTCATCCTTCTTAAATTATGCAGGGGGGGGGGGAGGCGTTGTGATGTGGATTATTTTACACGAGGGACTGAAATGAGACCACAAATTCATTTGGCCAGTCAGGTGGACTTGAGTCCTGGCCTCCAAAGGAAAAAGACTCTTGCTTTCTTCATTAAGTTTTCACACTTAGGGACCACACCTCCTGGGCCACTGGGAAGAGTCCTGGATTAAAGGCTGGATGCGGAAGGTGAAGCAAACATTCCTATATTCCACTCTAGTTAGAATGATGGCAGGCTGCATCTTCTTACTCAAAGACTTCAGGGCTAAAATTTGAGAAGTGCTAAGGGGCCCAGAAGAACTCTGGATAATTCTCAACACTGGGATAACTAAAAGGAAGGATTCTCATTGTCTATATGCCTCATAACCTGTCTGTAGTGTGTTTGCAAATACTAAGTGTGATTGGATGGTTTAGGGGTCTTTTAATAGCCAATATTTATTTCACAGTTTCAAGAAAAACCTCAGAAACTGGAAAATGCTGTGTAGAGGAGAGGGGTTTATCAAATAATAGAAATCCTCTTTCATTTGCCGCCATATTATTTTGAGGACAACTATGTCAGAGGTTGGGCTAAAATATCCCAGGGATGATTCTCAGATGATTCAAATGGCTTGAAAGCATTGGCAATAGAGAAGTTGTCATTGGAATTGGAATTATAGTGTTGCATTCTGTTCTCAGCTGCACTTGTGCAAATTAGGTCCACATACTTTATGGTGGAGTTAATTTTCAGTGAAGATATACTCCTTTTTTCTCCAGAATACATAATCTGCCTATTTTTCAGATTAAATAGAGTTGTGGCAAATTCTCCTCTTGCTGGGCCAAATTCAAGTGCATTCACTAAGATTTCACAGGGCAGAATTTGGCCCAAATAATCTGAAAAATGACAGTGTGTCCCCTTAAAATAGACAGCATTTGGATGTGAAACCTTTTATGTTGTATAATTAATTAGATACATGTTGTGCTATAATATTATATATTAGATGTAGCAATTATACTAAGGGTTTAATTATTCTAATGAAAGTGCCTAACTTATTTGTGTAATTCATTTGTTAAGTCTGAACAATGGAATATGTGAGTGGATTTGGCTATGTGTTCTGTATCCCCTGAAAAAATGAGACAGGACATCTCAAGAGATGATCCTGGTGAACAAAAATATTTAATAAGAAATATCTACAGTAAATAAACTCAATACTGGCAGATTGATCTAAAGATAAGGGGTTTTTCCTTTAGATTTTTGCTGTCACGTTGATAAAAGGGACACACATTTTTCAGATCTTTGCACACTAACAAATGTATCTCATTCAAAATACATGCAGTGAACCTACAGTAAGTGGAATTAAATTGTACATCTGTACTGAGGATGGCAATCCAGCGATTTTTTTCTTGTTTGAATTATCTCTTGGGTGGTTGAGCACAATTGTAATTGAAACTATAATGTTTCATCTCTTTTAGGCTATTATTTATCTGAAAAATTCATCCACTACTGTTCTAAATTCCTTCCAGAAATCATTTTCTTCCACTCATGTTGAATCCATCCTCTCCTGCATCAAAGTGGTCCTTGATTTTGACCTGGCTTAGATTTCTATTGGATGGCAATTCTGACACTTAAGTAAATATAGTATTAACTGGTTTAAAGAAATCTATTATGTGTAACTCTGTACATGATTGAACAGGACTTTCCATGACAAGGATAAATGTAGAGCTCAGTCGTTTTTTTTCCTTCACAGGGGGTTTTGTGTGAATATTTTCTTCAGTTTCAATCCGAGTTTCACTCCCCCAGAGGTTTGCTTTTAGTTTGGGGTTCAAATTAACTCCAAATCACAAAGTGAAACTCAGTCATATCACTGACTTTCACTTGATTTTCCATCAAAACCATGAATTCTGAATGATTTTGATGCAAAACCACCAATCAGCCCCACGTGTTTTGAAATAGGCCCTAATGATCTTTCCAACGAACCTGATCTGATTTCTGGGGTACCTAACAAAATTCCAGACTAGAACCGAATTTAACTGGTTAGTCTGGATCCAGAAATCAAACCCTTCAAATGTCAGATTTTGTCTCAGACCAGACCACGTGTGAAATTAAGATAGGGATCCAACTTGGATGTCAAATGTTCCCAATGTTCAGGGAATGTTCAGATCTAAGGTTTTTGCTGATGCCCATCGCTACCAGAAATCTAGCATGTGTTTTGCATTTTGAGGGTGTTCAAAGATGATGAAAAAAGAAAACTTTTTCAAGAGTATAACATGAATGCCTTGGGCTCCAGGCTGCCACGAAATACACTCTGCTTAGCTCAGGAAATGAGTGCAAGTAATGCTCTTTATAACATTCAAAATGCCTTAAGTGTTAGGACACAACCATATCTCAATATCCCAGCCTCACTATTTCCTTGGGGTACAAACATTAACCATAATATGGGGAATACAAGTTCTCGTACATATGGTGATGGCTGTACTGTTATATGTGGGGTTTATCTGTTTCATGTGTTGTGATTCTTGGGGACTTGATCTTTCCCATACTGAGGCCAATATATCAAGACCCGGACTATCAACCAGAGTGCATGGACATAGATAGGTACCTGCAGAGTGATCAATGCAAACACTATTGCATCTCAGACCATTGTTTTCTGTATATGTCTGGTATTGGTTTTTGCATTACTCAGTTCTCATACACTGTTCCCCATGCACTATGCATATCTCTTCTGTGGCTACCATCCCGGGGTGTGTGTTTGTGTGTATGTATGTGTGTGCATGCATGCATGCATGTGCTGCTGGGCATATGCCCGGGTAGCAAATGGATTGCATGTCACTGGATACTATCCATTTATAAGCAATTTCAAATCTGTTCTCACATAATATTGATAAACAGAAGATAAACTATTTTACTCACCCATGAAATCTGACATTTCCAAAGACAGTATCAGATTACTCTTCCTATGTACTTATAGAAAGCTAGATTGCTGGATAGATAGAAGTTTGTTCATGCTGAGCGGTAGCACCTAGCTTCTGAGCTTTCAGACTGAGGCTAGGTCTACATTACCCGCCTGAATTGACGGGTAGAAATCGATCTCTCGGGGATCGAATTATCGCGTCTTGTCAGGACGCGACAATCGATCCCCGAATCGACGCTCTTACTCCACCAGCGGGGAGCCGCGGAGGTCGATTTTGCCGCCATCCTCACAACGGGGTAAGTTGGCTCCGATAGGTCAAATTCAGCAACGCTATTCGCGTAGCTGAATTTGCGTATCTTAAATCGACCCCCCGCTGTAGTGAAGACCTGCCCTGAGACAGGCTGATGCAAACGGGTATATGTTTTCCTTTCAAATACTAAGAAACACAAGAGCTGCACTATGTGTCACAGGATTACTTTTTTTTTTTTCAAATGGAACAATAATCTTGCAGGGATTGTCCAAAATCCATGCAGAGTCCCCAATGCAGAAGCTTTCAGTGGGAACTTAACATTAGCAGATCTATTTTTACAAACACGTGTTGCTGGCCAGCTGCCTACATAAAGATGTCTGCAGAATGCCAATTGTTCCTATCAAAAGTGTGGAAAAAACTGTGCTTTTGCAACAACTTTAATGGGAGAAATTAAATGGGCATACTGTGTTGTGTTATGAACTGAATGCTTCTTTTTGTCCAAATCACGTCCCCTCGTGGGACCCTCCACTCTCTGAAAAGCAGCAGGCTTCAGGATCAAGAGTTAAGCTTGTCTGGGAATATGATGAAAGAATATCAAGAGCACCAGTTAAGCATTTTAGCAGCCAACAGACCTCTCTTAAATCAGTCTTCATAGATAAGCTCAGCTGCATGCGTGCATTTGACAGTATAACTCTGCACTAGGACTAGAATACCAGGATGTTTCTCTTAAAAGTGGACAAATCTCTTTGACTAACTCCATCCTTCTTCTAATTGGAGCTTTTATTTGTGTCTGGATTGTCATCTGGGGAGAGTGAAGAATCTCCTTCGATTTTGCTTTCGGAGTATTTTGACTTGTGTGAAACTGACAAGCCAGAAAGTGGGAAAGTTAGAGACAAAGGAGAAGTGAGGGGTCCCAGAAAGAGGGCTGAGAGAAGGAAATCAGAGATCTCTATTGCCTAGAGGAACAGAAAAATCCCCAAGGAAGAAAACAAAAAGAGATTGAAGAGAAATAACAAGGTTAAATAAGATTTAAAGGACATCCTAGGCCAATTTCTAGATGTTGGACTTTCAAAGGATGTTCAAATTCTGCATTTGGATCCTCGCATTGGCACTTGGGTGCCTAAAAAGGGCATTTGTGTGTCCGTCTGAGCAGTGGGATTTTCACATCCCAGTAAGGCTGCCTGCAACAACATTGTCTCTTCCAGAGCGGTCCCTCATGGCCAGAGTTCTCTTTGCAGCAATCTCCCTCTATTCTTCCTCTTCCGGGCCCTTACAGATTCCCCAGAGCCTTTCTTATACATCCCTCCGGCCTCCACTTGGGGCTGGCTTCATGCCCGCAAACAGTGCCAAACAGTCCCACCAGTAAAGTCCATCACTGCAATCCAAAGGCTCATACGCCACCTCTGGCTCTCCTGCCATCTCCATAGAGCTCTTCCCTGCCACAGCCTGCTCATCACAGGGGTCACCTTTCATAGCTGCTGTTTAGCCTCCTGGCTCTAGCTGCCTGCTCTTGCCAGTGTCTCCCATGTTCTGAGGGCGAGGGCGGTCTGCGTACTGCCCCTCTCCAGGCTGGCTGGAATAGAGGGGAGCCCTGACCCATCCTAAACCACAGGGCTTCCAATCCTGGGCCCTTAAAGAAACAGCATCCTGAGGTTTCCCCCCAGCCAACTCCTAATTCCCTAACTCCTTCTTCTCTTCCATTACCAGGCCATTTCCTGGGCCTTTGTTCATTCCAACTCCCTGGAGCTGGGTCTTCTGGCCCCCTCTACTCTTTAAAGGCTAATATACCTTGTTACAGGTCCACATTTAAAAACTGGGCTAGGTTAGGGTAACGTGGGCCGTGGATCTAAATGCAAAAGAAAGACCATCAAACACACAAGGAGAGAGATGTTTTGTACGAAAAGGGGGCTGAGGAGAGTGGAGGACGGAGTGCTCGGGTGCGCCTTTGATCAGGAATAAAAGCGTCTGCTTCAAGGCAACGTTATTTCACTCTAAGGCAACATAGGCCAAATTCATCCCACACCAAATTGGTGACTCTGCTGGATTCAGTACAGCTACGGGGATAAACCGGGTCTAATACTAGAAAAAGCTCCTCCTTCACCTGCCTGAATTCAAGGTCCTTGTGTTTCCCCTTCAAATCCAAGGACAGTACTAACACCTCTCCCACAGAACAAGGAGTGCGGCGGAACGTCCTGCTCCTAGTGCTTGCCAGTGATGTATTCAGCTCTTGAAGAGGGGACACAGAAATGTGGACTCAGGTCTTGGCAATCACCAAATGTGAAGGAGGAACTAATTTCTCAAACACTGGCCTGAATCCTAAACTCCTAAGCGAGGCCAAACTCCAGATGAAGCCAAAGGGAGTTCGACCTGAGTGAGGACTTTAGGATTTGGCCCACTGTGTTTTAAAGCGCGCGCACACACACACACACACACACACACACACACACACTATTTCTTTTTGAAATCCACAATTTTATTCCATTACTGGGACCACGGTGCTGCACTCCCATCCCCTGTCTTTCAACGGTTACTGATGAAAGTCTTTTTTGCTCACCTTAGAGTGCAAGACGAATAACTGTAGCCAAGCTGGTTGCATGTCTCAAAACAAAAACTGAATTTGTAAGTGCTAGGGAATGACTGCAGTGTGGGAAGGGAGAGGTAATTGACATTCCCTTGGGTAAACCTCTTTAAAAATTCCGGACCTGGTTCCTTTGGATTTATTGTCAGGAGGCACAGAATATGATAATGCTTATTAAAAAAAAACCCCAAACCAATCGACAACAAAAAACATAAGTTCAACTCCCCAGTGTCTCTGAAGGCTGAGAAAGGCAGAAGACACAGTGACCATGACCTTAGTTTGATCTTCAAACTATTCAGTAAAAAATGCTAGATTAGTGCACAAAGCTAAATGAGAACGCAAAAGGCCAATAAAGGGCTTCTAAATGGTCCTGAAATAAACAAACAGTCTAATTAGTGAGCCCAGGAATCCCTCACACAGAAAGGGCTAAATATGCAAATGAGGTCTAAGAGAGAAGATTAGCATTCTACAAACTAGACGAAGTGCATACGCGCATAGGATAGCGCATTTCTTTATGATCTGATGCTGCCACACGTCTCCCCGAGACTCTGCAGTAAGGCTCCATTACCTGTGGGAGGAGGGGGGGTGCAGTAGTACAGAGCTGATTAACTGCCGACTCCCCTGGGCTTGCCAAGATTTCCAGAGAAGTCATTAATAGAATTTGCGTGGCACCCCACTCCACATAATGTTGAGAGAAGATAGCCTCGAGAGGTATCCTTCCCACTCTCCCAGCACACGCTGTATGTCTATACACACTGCTGCATATACGCTAGAGACACATTATACACACCATAGACTTGATTAACCCCTGCTGTCACAAGAGGACATGCAAGGAATGACACTTTGTTATTTGCCACCGTCCTCTTCCTGGCTTCTGTCTGAAATGGGCAGCTTTGGGTTCCAGCCAGGGCCCCACCAGCAGAAGCCAATTGCGGGAAAGTAAATTCCTATCACTTATCCCAGCCCTTCACTGTTGCTGCTGACAACAGGTTAGTCTTTCTGAAAGCAGAACTTATTTCTGGACACAAGTGCTGAGGTTTGGCAAAATATTTTTAACGGTGTCGTATTTAATCCAGGCAATTCAGCTTCAGGGCCCTGTGTTTTTGATTTTACCCTTTGAGAGGCTACAGTGAAGGCTTGGATATTATTTATTCATTTAGATTTACACACACCCTCAAAAAAAAGTATCGTTCTCGGTGTTCTAGATGCCCCAGCCATAACCTAAGACTGCCCCAAAATGAATATCCAAACAAATACTATAATCCAGCAGCAGCAAACCAGCCAACTCAGAATTTCAAACCCCCTTCTTCCAATGGTTCCTCACTCTTACCATTCCTTCCTGTTTCAAATGCCTGGGGAAGAAGACGGCTTTGCAGTGTGACCTGAATGTCATCAGACTGAGGCTATTTTGGACCCCGGGGAGTCGTAGGGAGTGAATTGCTTGAGATCTGCCCTTCGTTAATGTGAGTAGATAGATCAAATTAATTAATTCAAATGTTGATGTTATAATGATGGAGCTAAGTTCATTCCCGAAGCCAATGAGGTGACGCCAGGTATGAAATGGTTTACTGTGTTTGAATTCTCTTAGCTGCATGCTTTCTTTCGTATTCAGTCTTCAAAGACTGTCTTGGCTTTCAACCTGTTACCATTGGGGTTAAAACACAGGCAAGTGACTGCTGACTTTTGCTCCTGAGTTTGCCTTGAAACGAGCCCCCCTAACTAAACAGTATGGCAATTTGCCCCTGTGCTGAACTGCAGAACATCTCTGAACAATGACGTTGAAGATCTGCCAGTCTACTGGTAGGTGCTGTTTTGTTTTTATAATTAACAGTTCTCTGGTATTTTTCAATATTTTCCTCTTCCAATCATTCAACCCCTCATTCACATGGGGGAACTCACAAGTGAAACTTTAGGTTTCCATCCTGGCACATTTGTATAGATTTAATGTTTCTAGCATCAGACTGCAGAGCTTTTCAACATCATGGATGTCTACCAGATCTTCAAGAGGGACCTTATGGAGTAGACTCCTCATTCCTCTCAAGTATAAATCTTTTTTGGTCCCTAAGTGTCTTTTAAAAAGGGTCTCCCCCCTATGAGGACACCATAAAAATCTACCCTCGTTGTTCTTGTGTCTACAAACGTAATTAGGTGTTTAAGTGGCTTAAATGCTGATAAAAGCACAAGGAGCTTGATGAATCTGAATAGCTAATTTTTCAGGAAGTGATCCAGGTCTTGCTTATGGCAATGTGTACTTGGCTGACTGATTGGAACACAGTGTTAAATTTGTTGAAGTGAGGAAGAATAGCACTTAAGAACATCAGGTGCAATCTGGCTAATAGACTCTCAAACTGTGCCAGTATTTTCTGCACCTTCTTGTCTCTTTCATCCTTCCTGGATCTAAACTAAGGTGCTTGAGCAACCCACTGCTCCAAAGTTCTAAATTTGGTGCATGCCTCCAGTTATAAGTGGTTTTGTATTGCTGAGATCATGGGTTATGTTTGGGGGAGCATTAATACTGCTGATCCCCAGTGATATTTCAGAGCGACTGCTTTGCACTGCAGCTGAAATACCAAGAGGCTACCACAATATCATGTCTGTGAATCAGAGGTATTTTTCCATGTATCAGAAGCACAAATATAACTGTGGTAGCCTCCACGTAGCCTGATCCCCACGATCTTCTACATGACACAAAATGCTATTGACCAGGGTCATCCAACCACTGGCCCCTTTAAGGCTAAGAACTCCTGGAGGATGGATGGAGGAGGACAATAAACCATGGGAATAAATCGTGCCCTGTTTTCCTCCCACAACCCCCAGAAGGCTTCTTCTCATAGAAGACACAGAAGATATGGGACCAATGCAATATTCTGCTGTGTGCATGTGTGCACACGTGCACGGTGGGGAATGAAGATCCTGCTCTAGGGACCTGTACTTCCTGCATTTCAGTGAGCACAGCTCCAGGAGGGCTCTGTGCACCTCAGTGCAAAGGGTGGTTTTGGAAGCAGGGTGAGATGGGCTGGATAATGGATCCATGGCTGTGCGTATCCACCAGGAAACCATTTGTCCTGTGGAAGGGGGGGTGTAGGGAGGGAGACACGGCAACCAAGAGGGCTACTGCAGCAGTTAGGTCAATTCACTCCCTCCTCAGAAATTGCACTAAAGAATCCTGGCTGGGCAATTGCTATCATTTAAGTTCTGTGTCCAGCTTCCATTCTGATTTATACTTTTGTTTTTATCCCATTTTTCTGACTCGTTTTGGTAGGATGGACAAAATGTTCTCACTCCAGACAGATGACAGTTTGCCGATAAGAGGTGCAACTTATCACCAACAGCTTTGTGCTCTATTTTTTCCTCAAATGCTTAGCCTGTTGGAACAGCTTTAAAGTCTAAGATGATATTGTGGGTCTTCCCCTTGAAGTGTTTTCTTCCTCTCTTTCATACTTTATGGCTTCAAGAATCAGTCTTTTTAAAACAAAACACTTCAATCTTTTTCCAATTCTCTCATGAATATTTTGCCTTAAATTAACTTTAAAAAAAAACAACAACTTTCTTTTGCATATGGAAATAAAATAAAAGCCCTAGATAAGTGACCTTTTGAAAGCTTGATGTTCCTTGAATCTAACTTCAGAAATCATTTGTCACAGGTACAGATACCTGCAATCAGAACTACCTGTTAAATCTTTCTTCAAGCAATTATATGATAATTTGAGCAGTATTCTCAGTTGCAGCTCAGGTTCTTTAGTTTTCTCATATCAAATACGTCAGGAAAAAAAGAAATCCTCAAACTTGTTCTGGTTTGAAAATCCCCTTCTTTCTCTCTCTCTGTAAAAGAAAGAATAAGGGAAGACAGGCTCAAAGAAGTGGAGAAATGAGAGAGGAAACGACAATACAACTTGCTCTGGAGATGAGCCCAGTAGGTTAACAGGACATTATAGAGTTGGTTTTAGCTCAGCAAAACAGGACACTCAATTAGTGCTGGATGAATCATTTGTAATTAATAATTTAGGCCAATTAGATTTGGGCCTCTTTAAAAGTTTCAACCTTATTCAATGAGTTTCACCTCCTTTTCTGTTTGTGAATTCTCTGCAAGCACAGTGCGAAATCCTCCAATGTATTCATTGTTCTAAATTGTTTGCTGACTACTTTAGCAAATAATTCTTAGTCTGCAGATTGTTTGTGCATTGTGAATAGTCATTATTAGAAATTCACATTGTTTCAATTGCTTCTATGACTCACATGATATGGCTTCTTTCCCCCGACTGGACAATTTGCTGTATGTAACTAATCTCAATTTCAAATTGCTTTTTCAAGCGTAAACTTTGAAATCCACAATTCAAAAATTCACTGTTATCAGTTAATTGTGCAATTCAGAATTTGCTTTGAATGTATATTTACATCCTCATTGTAGTAAATCATGTATGCTCAAACGTTCACGGAAAGGGTTGTAACAGAATCAAATTGCCATTCAAATTGGATTGAATATTCATTAATAGAGTGTTGCATTGTTCACCTGGCTCTGCACTCAATAAGCAATTCTTCACTTTTTATATTACAGCACAATAGTGTTCCTTGGTCCATAGGAGCAGGTTACTAGAAAGGAAAGGAAAGGAAAAAAAGGCCAGTTTTGTGTTCTTGCTGTAAAATACGGGTAAAGACAGCTCCAGTGACACACATTTTCTGGACAGCTGCGGAACTAAAATCAACCAAACTTTCCCATATCAAAGTGACTCGTTTATATGGTTTATATTATTATTGAAGCTTTATTTGTCTGATCCAGTCTTCTTGCCTCCCTCAAGGGACCCCCAACCTCTCCACACCCCACATTCCTTCTGCTGCATTAAGGCTGTTGAGGAGGAAAATATTTGGGCTCTGGAAGTAGGAAGCGTAAATTGGGATTTTCAAAGGAACCTAAAGGGAGCTAGGCACCTAGTTCCCATTGAAATTCCTTGAAAAACCACATCTATGAGCTTCTTTCCTAATAGCACTCCTATGGCAGCTGAGGAACATTTTTGCTAGCCTTAGCCATTTGAAGCCATTTTTGCAAGCCTGGCTAATCAGAGATTTACAGGACATACCAACCTACGTTGGTGGTACACCTCTACCCCGATATAACGTGACTCGATATAACACGAATTCGGATATAATGCAGTAAAGCAGTGCTCCGGCGGGGGCGGGGTTGCGCACTCCGGCGGATCAAAGCAAGTTCGATATAACGTGGTTTCACCTATAATGCGGTAAGATTTTTTGGCTCCCGAGGACAGCGCTATATCGAGGTAGAGGTGTACTAGAATGAAAGGAAGATTGAAAACATGAGGCCTCACATGACCTAGACTTCGGTTTGTAGCCTAGCCTGGAAAAGGATGGGGAGAGCTCAAATTCCTATGACTCTTGGCCAGTCTCCTCCCTCACCTTCACACACAAAACAGGGCTCCTGTAAGCTCTTGAACACCTTTTATGTTGACTGTGCTATCTTTCAAGGTGACAAAATACTGGCAGGTTGCTTTCTATCATGAAGGAATAAAATGAGTGGAAATGTTGACTGCTTTGAATCTAATATATTTGGATCTGAACAATCTCAGACAGTATCATTATCAAACCATTGTTGCCCCATCCCAAACAACGACATAGTCCAAACCCAAGGACCCAAACTTCTGCATTGGCAACAGTAGCTGGGAGACAACTGGTGGGTGCAATTCCACTCGCTTCAGTGCACAGGATTGTACCTGCTTTTCTGCAGTCCTGAATTTGGCCCTGTGGTTTTTGTTTGTTTTATTAAAGAGGTTAGCCAGATCATCTCAAGGTCCTTTCCAGGGTTGGCATTCAGCAATAAGCATATACTATTACTTTCAGAAATACATACATAGACTACAATTGTATAGTAAGAAATTCCTGCTTTGAAGAGGGATGGTAAAAAGAGAAGGCATACAACTCTATTATAGTGCAGTGTGTGTGTGTTCGAGGGTTAATTTAATTCAGAGGTTCAGGGGCACTATTCCTAGATGCCACCAAAAAAATGTCTGCATCTAAGCAATGCTAACCTTTCCCCCAAATCCTTTTAAACCTGACCTTGGCCTTTGCTGTTTCCACGCGCAGTGTCCCAATGGGCACAGTGCAGCTGCACACAACCTCTGTAGCCAGATACTTAGCCTTCAGATTCACTCCTCAACAAACATCCGCAAACAGTTTGCAAGGTCAAACCCCACAGCAGCACAAAGGAGCCTTCGGGGAAGCCTAAAACGAAGGAAGGGTGAAATACAAGTCGAAACGCACATACTGCAAACAAAGGTGCCTCTTTTACACAAGACTTGGTTATAACCCTGAAAGAGGACAAATGGCAACTATTGTCTTTATGGGCTTCATTTTCTCCCGACCCTGGGAAAGCACAGCCCAGGCAATTTCTGCACGCTGGCTACATGGTTCCGCAGTGAAATGGTGCAGGCTGAACTGTGGGAGCAGCCTGCATCCACTGGAATAGATTCTTTGTGCAGCTTCATACATCATGTGCATCAGATATGATTTCAAAACTATATCAAAGGATTGGCTTTCCTGTGCCTTTCCAGGTCCCAGTGTGCACAGAGGCAATTGAACAAGACACACTCACTTTTTTATGATCGAGTTATCCCAGTTTCGGTAAATAAATGTCTGCATCTGTACTTTTCACTTCTGTCTGAGGGGAGATATTGCATTCCCCAGGCTTTCAATTTTTCATGCTCCTTTGGGGAGTGTGTGTGTGGTGGGGGGCGGGGGGGGGAGGATGTAT